TAAGTACGTCATAGAATTTGCGTAAACCCATATACAGTTAAACCTGTCTATAGCACCCCCCCTATTGGGACTCACCAAAATAGGGTGCTATAGAGAGGGGGTGCTATAGACAGGTCACTTTTAATGTAAATCGCATCGTACTACGTATATAAAATCGGGCGCTATAGAGAGGAAGGCGCTATTTAGAGGGGACGCTATAGATAAGTTTAACTGTACTTCTTTTTGTTCCACCTTATGAAATAATTACTTGAAATGTTTTAGCCAATTAAGATTGAATTTTATCCTGAAAATTGATAGTCGTAAATGGTGTTTTGAAAGTATTTGATCACTCGGAAATGGTGTCGATATTTTACAGAACATGTTGTTGTACCTAGAAAATATTTACACTCATGGACATAACTTGAAGAACGTGGAAAATATTTGATATCGCCTGTCGCTGTGTTCTTGAAGGAGACAAAGGCAATATTTTTTTTCACACTTGGTTATCTCGTGTTTCTTCAATAAAGATAACCGTAATATCTTTCAGAGTTATTGTCTGAATCTCGATATACATGCTGAAAGTACAACTTCTTTAAGTTTTGTCCATGAGTGTATACACACTTGGTTATCTCGTGTGTCTTCAATAAAGGCCACTGTAATATCTTTCAGAGTTATTGTCTGAATCCCGATATACATGCTAAAAGGTACAATTTCCTTTAGTTTTGTCCATGAGTGTATACACACTGGTTATCTCGTGTGTCTTCAATAAAGGCCACTGTAATATCTTTCAGAGTTATTGTCTGAATCCCGATATACATGCTAAAAGGTACAATTTCCTTAAGTTTTGTCCATGAGTGTACATGATGGTTAAAATAGCCTTTTTTTTCTCAATGGCTCACCAGTTTTTATTTTGTAATTATCGACTTTAAATATTATTTAATATATAAATAATAAATTATTTCCATTAAATATTAGTAACGTCGTATATACAAAGTGTTTCCTACTAGTCTTATTTACATTTTCTAGCGATTATTGCGTCAAATTTTGGTGAATTTTATATAGACACCGTTTCTGTAGCTGTAGTAAACCACTTGTTAAAGACGGATATGTTATAAAGCTTGTGATGTATATAAAGACCAATAGAAGAAACTCTTCTTGGAATGACAAAATAGGGAGGTCGGCAGTGAATGAGTAGTCTAAACCGCTTGTTTTCGACCGCTACGAACCGGGATCGAGTCCCGCGCATTGGAAACTTTTTTCTGATAAAAAAGCTCTAATGGCGCCCGATTCTTGCAACCCAATCAGTGAGTGCAAGTAACCAAACAGGGCTCTGGCATATTTGAAAGTGAAAAAGTCGAACTGCTTTTCACATATGTAGACATGTAGTGTACTTAGAGTAAAAAGCAGTCGTCAACTTCTACTCACCATGATTATCGTGGTCTGTACCATGTGTACTAGGGAAAAAGGACGCAAGAATAAAGATTGAAAACTACGATAAAACTCTTACATATTTTAAATTAGCTTTTTAAATATTTAAGTTAAAAGATATTTACAAATTCCGAAGGCCTCTAACACGTCAAATGCCAGGCTAAAATATTACGTATTGACACTTTAGAATTTTTAAATGTTTTTTTTTTTTTCAAAGGAGCTATCAAAGATAATAAAAAGGGTTTTACTGCTGTTTTCAAGTTTTTATGTGTGTTACAGATGCTCTTAAAATGTATGTTCAGGTATGTTTCTGTGCAGATAAATCTTGATAGACTGAAAACCTTCGCCTGAATACATGAAATTGTGATGACATTATGGTTCTTCTTCAAAGTTGGTTTTTCCAAATATAAATCCATTAAACCGATTTTAAAATGTTTTAATAGAATGAGCTTTATCTGCTAAAGCTTTCATCAATATTTCATGGGTTTCTTTAGGAGTTAAATTACATTTATGATCATAAAAGATCATGGCGCGTAAACCTTCTCTAGTTAACTCTATTGTGTCTGATTCAATGTTTAGAAATTACCGCTGCCGCTGAAAACAAAGTCGCGCCCTCTATGAGTCATTGTTGTCGCTTTTTTTAATGAAAATGGTTATGCTAGGTAAAAGATTAATGTAGATTTTAATGGTATAATTTATTTTATAAATATTTTATTTGTTTAATATAGATTGTAAAACATTTGGAGTCACCCTTGTATTTTCCTCTATGTTTTGGCTATAGAATTAGACAAGTCACTTTGCAAGCTAAACACCTCTTCGAGAAATTCTGAAGATATCGAGAATTCCTGATGGATTTCCTGAAATCAAGTTAGCTTAGTACTGACAAAGGCAATTAGTCCGAAACCATTTGGTCTACAGTTTAGGATTTCTGAGTTTTCCAAATCTGGTGTTACTGGTTTACCACCGACTTGAGACTTCAAGATTGTGGAAAGGATGAATAGTTTCAACGTCTATTTTGACGGGAGAGGTTACCATCCTTTTTATAGGCCAATATCTTCCGGAATTATATGCATCTATATGGCAAATAAATCTTTTATTCAATCCAATATATGTCTTTTATTATCTAACTAGACGAATGGCCCTGGCAACGCCCGGGTTTTACCCGAGTGCGTATATATTTTAAAAACGTTTTAATTCAAATACTATTCGTTACAATTATAAATTGGCGCCATGGATGTCACTCTTGTGAAACGTCCCGTTCCAAACTGTGTGTTTTTAAAATGTTTTAATTAAAATACTATTCGTTACAATTATAAATTGGCGCCGTGGATGTCTCTCTTGTGAAACGTCCCGCTCCAAACTGTGTGTGTCTTGAAAATATAAAAATAAAAATGTGAATTTTCATAAAGATTTCATCATGTCGTTTTTTTTTTTTGCATTTCACCTACTAAATCGATAGAGATAATTACATTTGCAACATGAACTTAGGTATATTGACTAAATAGAAAACTGCATAGTAATAAAGATCATTTTTTAAAGGCACCATATCGTTTTTTTTCAAAAAATCGAAACAAAAATTGACGATAAATAACGATAATTGCCTTAAAAAGAAATTGCCTTAAAAAAAAGAAACATTCGCGGTGATTTTGTCTTGCATTCGTTTATGCAATTATTATATACGAATGACCCGGGCAACGCCCGGGTTTTACCCGAGTGCGTATATATTTTAAAAACGTTTTAATTCAAATACTATTCGTTACAATTATAAATTGGCGCCGTGGATGTCATTCTTGTATAATATATAAATGAGTTTTAAAAATTGTAAAAAAAAAAAAAAAAATGCATCGGCCGGGAATCGAACCCGGGCCGCCCGCGTGGCAGGCGAGCATTCTACCACTGAACCACCGATGGTTATGAAAAATCCCATCCGTGAGCTTCAGACAAACAAACAGACAAACAGAATAAGGCAAATATATAAGTAGATATATATATACTTATTTTTAGAATATTTTTAAATTTTCCTAACGTCATTGAATAGTGAATCTACCAATAAATTACGCCAGAATTTTAATTATTTTTCACAAAAGTTTTTCAATATAAAGTTTAACGCAGTAAAAAGAACATCATTATAACAATAAGAGGGTTTCCTATAACGGAGTATTGTATTATGGAAACTTGCTTGAATTGAAAAGCTTTGCAATTTGCTTCATCTCCATGTAAGAAAATATCCATTCTTGGCATTAAAACAATGGCCCATTGTTATAACAAGGCTATAGACTAATAATGAAACATTTTTCTACCCTGAATATTTTCTATTAAAAAAAAAAAAGGTTTATTTTGGATTGTAATAAGATTATTTATTAATCCAATATTTCGATGGACCAATCGTCCATCTTTTACGAGGTTTTTTGTTATGAAGCACACAGCAGGTCGCGGTGAGCCACGGACGTCTTACAAGCTTATTGGGCGATAAACCATCTAATATATACATTTCAAACAGAGTATATATAATCTAAAGAAAAACAATGTAATATATATAAATAAACATGGCTATAGTTAAACGAAGAATTATATATACTCGTATTATCAGCTTGTGTTCGTTAGCTCTGAGTCTATGGATATAACTTGGATATACGAGTATAGGAATATGGTAAAATGATAGTGTATTTATAAATGAATAAAACAAAGCTTCGAGGGCTGCGTATCTTTTATTAGAACGAATATAATACTAGCTTTCGGGCACATACGCCCTTCTACAGGAATTAATGAAACAATAATCCGACTAGTTTGAAATAGGTTTTATATACACGTAACTATTGTTTTGCATATCACGCGCAATTTGAAAAATATTAAAATTTTTAAATTTACATGCAGGTGTAATGATTTGGAAAAACTAATTCTAATTAAGATGAGATAATATGATACATTTTGGTTAAGGCAATCTTATTTTGTATTTTATATTTTATATTTTACATATTTTTATAATTTGCATTTAATAGTGTATTTAATAGTTATCTTTATTTTGTTTATCTTTCTTTATGGAAATGTTAGGAAACTAAAATATATATGGAAAAATATTACAAATGTGATATTGTACTGGGATAAGGTTCATAAATTATGAAAAGAAAAATACATCTTTAAATGGCTCAAGCCATGAGAGACCTTTTGTTGCCCGATAAGGAGATACCCTTTTTTTTTCTGTTCTTAAAAAATATCTGTGATCCATATTATATAACTAAACTTGTTCAATCTATAAAGTAGTTTATCAATAAGTGAAAATATTATCAAAACAGTGTGATAAAGACGTTAAACCTAAGCGCCATCTATTGACCGTCGCCGCAAACTAGCGACCTCAGGTTGGTGACAAAGTCACAACACCAGCTTTGGTAAACTGAGAAGCGTCCACCTGGTGTCCATGGTTTCGGGATAATTTTCCCCTTCAGGTTAGGTCGGACTTTATTCCATGAGATTCACAAGGGATCATATGAAATGAGCTTGCAGGAGGTGAAAAAGTGGCCAAAGCGGGATTCGAACCCGTGATTGTCGAGAATCGACGGTTTACATCACTCGTCCACAGAGATTTACAAGCTGGGGGTCAAACAGCACCCGTTGTTCCCAGGTGGTCACCCTCCCAAGTACTGACCGGGTCCGACGTTGCTTAAATTCGCTGATCTGACAAGAACCGGTGTTTTCAATGTGGTATGGCCGTAGGCTACACACACTTTATTTTCCTATATATATAGTCAATATATACACGTGACCAGATATTGTTGGTTAAATATATTATAAAATATTGTAAAATGAATTCCAAGGCCAAGATTCCAGAGTAAAGTTGGGGGAAGGTGAGTGGGGGATGGCCATGTGTTGTCGGGGGGACAGGCGCCAAAAAAACATTCCTGTGTGGAGGAGGACAGAGTCTGGTCAAATCTGTAGCAAGTAGAAGACGTGGCGACTTGCCTTCGGGCGTGTGGATTATCCTACAAGGCGGTTCCAGGAGAGCCTGACATCAGAGCGGCCTACAAGGTGGTGTAGTCCAGGCAGGACATGTACAGTGTGGAACAGAAGGTTTCCCAAGAGTGACATCCACGGCGCCAAGGATCCTTCTGACGGGGATGTTGAAGACAAGTCCCACTTATTGTATTTCTTCTGTTCAGTACCACGTATAATAAAGCGATAACTTTTGCTGCATCCCTTCGAAATCACGTATGCTATCTTTGCGGCATCCTGATTAGACAAAGAACACGAACAGCCTCTGGCTATGACGTAACAAAATACACTTGTATATATATACAGAGATGATTAAATAATAATAAAAACTCAAACAGGTATGAAAGCCCTTATATTGGAGAAAACATGATAATATATCTTTATTATTCATAGTACACGTGGTACAGGTCATGTTAATCATTGTGGGTAGAAGTTTGCGACTGATTTTACTGTAAGTACACTACATGTCTACACATGTGAAAAGCAGTTCGACTTTTGCACTTACAAATATTTAAGATAATAAAGTAAACTTCTAAGGATGAGTATCTATTTTAAAACGTTTTTCAAGCTTTCGGGATAACGCCCTTCTACTTACAAATGTGCCAGTGTTCCGTATACATGATATGATAAATCTGCGCTCTGTATTTTCATTAATCCAGAATACTAAACGAATCTTTAAAACAAAATAACCGCTCAAAAACATTTAAAAAGAGAAATATATATTTTTTAAACTTAAAAGGAATCTTCCATTCTCCAATCTAGAATGTGGTTGCCCCCCCCGTCATAATAACATATTACCTCTATCTGAGATTAAAATTGAAATGATTCAATATGTAAATACGGAATGGTAATTTTTCCCATCTCAATCTAATTACTTCTGGAGAGAAGTTTTTCTAATAAATTTAACAAAATTAATTTATCGCACGCTCTGGTTTTCAAAGTTTATTTTTCTCCCCCAATCAAATTTGTTAGATTTTTCCTCAAACATTTTAATTTAAATTTTCATTTATTTATTTATTCGTGTGTCTTTTTTATTTATAAATATAAAGAATATTAAAATTAAATTAAATTTTATATTTATATGTAAGTTTTTTTTTTTTTTGATTTTTTAAATTATATAAATATTTTTTTTTATTCACAGAATACATATCTTTGTGAAATATTTTTTATATTGTCTGAGAAATAATTACAATTTTCTATTAAACATCTTATTATCTGTTGCACATATGAGACATGCTACATAGCCAATTTAGCTAATTGCCCGTGAAGTTATTTATAATAATATTTTACACAAATACATTTAATGGTAATGCGTTTCTTTTTAAATATCATCAAATATTATCTCTACAGACCTTACTGCAATGATATGAGTTATTGAATGAGAGGGCTTGGCTCATCAGTAGTAAACACTCTCAGCGGTTTCGCCAAATTAATCTCTAGACCGCTCTACTATTGTATTGTATTGGTTTGGAATATACCCTGTATTCTCTATGGAAGGCAGCTTAGGGGTATTTAGTGAACTATGGACATAAGCTTATAGGTCTGTAGAGGAACATACTGTAGATGGCAATTAAATTTAATTTACTAATTAATTATAATTGTTCATACTGTAGGTAGAGTATGATGTTTCTAATTTGCTAGAAAAGTGATTTATTGATATATTTTATATTTAACTTCATCAACCATTAAAAACAACATATGCAGATAATGGATGCTATCGTTATTTACAATAGGTTGCACAATGATTGAAGTTTACATCATAAAATATATTCACAATGTGTAGTACCATCGTGAGAAAGCAAGTTGATCTCCACATTGGGATATTCACAACAGGTTGTGCTTTAGAAATTATATTAAATATATTCATATTATATATTTATTTGAATTATGTCATACAATGATATGCACAGTTGTTAATGAAAGTAGGCAATATTTCGGTGAATCTCTTGTTTTAAAAATAAACGTGCGCTAGAAATATTATTCAACAATACTACATCGACTAGTGATGCTTGTTGTCAAATAACCTGTTGTCTACTTATTTGAGCCAAGCCCTCCTTAAATATGTATTGTAACAAAGTATTTATTATTTTTTTTTTTTTATTAACAGAGTGGACATTTTTATGTTTATATTCTGCTGCTCTGTAAATTTCCCACGTGGCTTATCTTTTGTTTACCATTCATAGTTTGTTCTTGCCTTAAAATAAATTGCTGTCTCATCCCGAAGTTGGTCTTCCCTAATTTTCCACGTGGTAATATTTTTTCATCACAGGAAGGACAGTAGAAGTTTATATTTTATATTAAAGAAACATTCTTGCTTAAATCCTTTCATTATACATTAATAATATGTAAATATATTTTCTACGTAATCAAGGAATTCATTATATAAAATTTATACAATTGGAAAATAAATTTTAATTTAGAGAAAAACAGATATAAAACCAGTGTATAACATTTAAAATTGGGCTAATAAATATTTCACCATTACGCCATCAAAATATTCACCCAAAACTCTATTCAAAAATGTAATATCCTCAAATAATTCCCTGTGAAACAAATATCTTTGAGCAAACAAATATTCCATGCCATCCATATTCGTGAATATAGTTTGTTTAATATTTTATAAAAGGTTAAATTATAGATTAATCGAGAAATTTACAATTTATAATTTTCCTTTTTTTGAAAATACCTACGACCACATAAAGCTTTTATTAAGACACCAGTCAGATTCTCCTCTCTCATTGCCGGCTTACAACGATATTCTCACAATCACCATCATGTAGTGGAGGAGAAAAACGTTGAATCTAAGTTCTTTTTATGTTTTATTTTTTAATAATGCAATGTCAGATTGTAGAATCCCCGGCAATACAACATGTCTAGTACTGAGTATATGAGAGTACTAATGGATTCCTGAAGGCTGACTCTCCATTCTCTAAAGAGACAATGGTCGCCTCTCCCGTCAAAATAGACGTCAAAGCCAGACGCCATTTTGACGGGAGAGGCGACCTTTGTCTCTTTAGATCAATATCCTCCCGGCAAAATTTCTATCTCTATTATCTGTCAACCATTTGTCACAGTTCGCCATCTGAATGCAGGGTGCCATGTCTATCTTCCGACTAATTGACCAACTAAGTAAGACTTTCTATTCCTACACAATGACCGTACTAAGCAGCATTCACCGTGGTAAGATGTCAAGCAAGCAGAAAGCCATCCACGTTCCAACATAGGTGATATTCCCCTGGTAAATCTAATCAGGTTCCAGACATTTGCTATTGGTAAGAGATCTGGGGAGTGTGGTGGCCAGGGAAGCATCTGTGCCCTTTGTCTAAAGCGAGCAGTGTATTGTCAGACGTTATCCTGCAGATACAGAATATTGAGCACATTAACTGATGTAGGGAAGTGTCATCTCTCCCCAGCACATCATTCACATAGGTTTAGACCGTTAAAGTGTTTTGAATACGACTAGACATGACCTGATACGTTACAATGCTATGTACGAAGCACAATGTCGCGTTGTCGCGTAGTGAGTTGTCCCACAGAGGCTGCCGCCCTGTCACCACGTCGGCGACTATCGTCAGAAAAACAGAAGCTTCACTCATCTCTCTCTGAGATAAGACAATATTGTTCCTTTCTGTCATCCTCATCGCTCGGTTACTTTGCACACGATATGTACTGTGAGCTTGAAGGCAGCTTCTTTAACTGACGCCACGAATGCACGCCGCTAATAACCAATCGACGGGAAATGGTTCTAGTTGATATGGTTATATCAAGAGGTCCTGAATATACTGGAAAATAACGGTAGAAGTGATTTGTGAGGCCGCGTTTTGGAGTAGGCATCGATTCATGCGTGCTGACGTCACTCTGGCCGCACCGGCGCCCTACAAATTTCCACATATTCCAACTATCAGCGCCACAGCCGTGGACAGGTCTAGGTGGCTGTCCTATGTCATTTGACGTATGGATCATCCTGACTATCTCCTTCCGATCACCATGCTCCTCCTTACATCATCGTCTGTTTTCTGTAACTGGCTCCGTTAGCGGCGGTCTAGAATTCTCAGCTCTTCCACGTTCCTTCTTAGACAAATTTCTGCAAGGATTCCCCTGTCGGTAGTTATGACACGTCACATCCTGCAGGTTCCGTTCTTCATATCGTACTGCACGTGCGTATCAGATATGATCATTTATCATCATTGGCATAACTCAGTGAGGTGGTTTTATTCTGAAATTTACAAAATTTCCGAGCCAGTCCTCTTTGGCGTAATATTTACAATATTGTGTCGTGTACATATGCTCATGTGAGCGGGAGGAAATTCCTATTTTGTTTAAATATGTATAAATATAGAAATATTTACGGAAGGAAGTTGATCTATAAAAATAAAAAGGTCGCATCTCGCGGTAAAATGACGCTTAAACTAAGCTATTTGAAACTAATTTGACCATAGATTTGGCCTAGCCACTTTAACAGCTAAGCCCCTCTTTGGCAGATTGTGAAGATTCCATTTGATCCCTTGTGGATCTCTCTCGTGGAATAAAGCTCGCCCTAGATTGACGAGGGTCATTAGAACGACACCATGGTCTCTAGATGGACTCTTCTGGGTTTTCCAAAGCTGGTGTCGTGGCTTTGTTCCCAACCTGAGGCCGCTAGTTTGCGGAGATCGTCAATAGACGGTGTCTAGTTTTTGACGGGAGAGGAGTACCTCTCCCTTTAATTATGCATCGTCTGAG